AGAACAATAAGATATATTAGTAGAACTTTTTTAGAAATATATCAAGTAATACACACTTTGTATATGTTATACATGGGATCAGAATTATTGTGAGTTTAGAATCAACTTAGATTAGAATGGAATTCTAAATATAGTCAAAGTCGATATAAAATTTAGGTTGATTTCAGATTTGATTCTATAAAGTTCTATAATATAATCACGTAATTAATAAATTTAATACAACTTAAGTTTTTACTAAATTTGATAATAAATACGTCATGAATTAATAAATTATAGTATTATAATAAATTGTAAAATTCATATTTTTTATTAAATACATATTTTTTTATTTCATTGTTCATTCTTTACAACTCTCTATCCAATAACCAAATATCAAGACTACACATTTTTATCTCATAATGTATTCAAAGACTTACTTTCCAGATATCTTGATAGTAAATCAATTAATAGACAATATAAAACCTTTATTATATATGAAGATTTTGACTTCTGTATTAAGATTTTATAAGATCCAGCAAATACAACGATCAGGAATACAAAAGATCATTATTGGGCAAAAAAAATATTTGCTATACATAATCTTGAGACGCTAACAAACCTCGTGATATAGCTTATTAAAATTGATTCAAACCTACCTGTATGTTCTGTTGACAAGATATATGAAGTGTTATATAGTTTGCATCAGAGAGTTTTAAAACATATTGGATCATCAAAGCTCTGGAATATGATATGTAATCTATATAAAAATTATAGTTAATATGAATAATAATTTAATTATTTTTTCTATTTTCACAGGTTTCAAAACAATATAGTTATATTCTAGTCTTTCATAAAGGAATTTGTAAAAAATTGCATGACATGTGCAACATGAAAAAGTTTTTCAAATCTGGTAACTACAAAGCCGATTATATCAAATGCCTTTCTTAATCAGGTTCAAGTAGATTTAGTCTCTATGACCAGCATTCTAGATGGGGACTATCATTATATATGTCACATGTATAACTATTTCACATGATATTCTTGGGCTCGGGCTTTAACTAGTAAATAGCCAATTGAGGTGGCTATTTTTTTTTTGATATTTTTGTTTGCTTTGGTGCCCCAATTCTTTTTTAGACTGATAATGATCATAAGTTTACTGCAGAAGTAATTTATGAGCTATTAACCATATAGCCTGATGTTCATATTATCAATAGTCGTCCAAGACATCCACAAAGCCAAGGGCTTGTAGAACACGCAAATGATATTTTTCAACAAAAAGTATCTAAATAAATGAAAGATACAAAAAGAACCAATTGGTCTTGCGCTATACCATTGTGTTGTTATAAGTATTTTAATAATTTTATTTAAATTTTATGATTTTTTTTTCTATAATCTAATTTGACCAATTTTTTAATAGATGCTATGAATATACAAACATTATAGCAAATTAAAAATAGTCTATATACATTAGTATTCAGACAAAATCCTTTACTTCATTTTACATTATTGAAGAAATCAAAGAGCATCATATTAATTCTGAAGATGAGCTGCCTGATAATTGGTTTGAGCCTACTGAGCCTTAGGACGATTTCGATTAGCAAGACATTGTAGAATCACTTTAAATACTGTAGCTTTAAATATAGAAATATTTTTTTTTTTTAAAATTTGTACTAATTTATTATTATTTTAAACTAATTAATTTAAAATAAATTATGTTTAGGAGCAACAATTATTAAAGCATATTAACGAAGATGAAATAATAAATAGAAGGGTGGATAATATGATCGATAGAAAAGCAGATGATATGATCGATAGAAGGGCAGATGATATGATCGATAGAAGGACGGATAATGTGATTAATAGAAGGGCAGATAATATGATTGAAATGACTAATGAGACAGAAGATTATGTAGTAGATGATGTAGAAGATGATATGGTAAATGAAGTGATAGATGAGATTGTAGACGAAGTGGTAGAAGAGATTGTAAATAAGATGGATAGGGCAGTAGATAGTTTAGTAAATAAGGGACGTGAGAAAAATCAGATAATTTTTTAGGGAGGGAGGGGTAAAAAAAGTTAAAATTATATATAAGAACCTGATTTTTTTTTTATATTAAAAGGGAGGTAAGCCTCTGATAAAAAATAATCAGATGATAAATGACACTGCCCTAAGGTTATAGAAGAGATGCATGAAATGATAAATAAAGAGGTAGACGAAAGTGTAAATGAAGTGGTAGTAGATGAAATAATAGATGAAATAATGGTTGATGAGATGGCAAATAAAAGAGAAGAGGAAAAAGAAAATATGTTAACAGATGTAAATATTTAATTTTATAATTAAATTTGCACAAAATAATGCTTAATAAAAATTTTACAAAATAGATATCTGAAGAAAGTGAATTATTGTTTGAATTATCAGTTGATAGAAATTCACCTGAAAATAATTCTGAAGTCCGTCTAAATAAAAGACGTAAACTTTTGAATTTGATTAATGCTACATGTACAAGCATTCAGGTATTTGAACATTATGTAGTTATTTATTTTAATAACAAATTTAAATTTTTTTTTTTATTTTCTGTTTCTTTAGCAAAAAAACAACATCCAGCAAACATCAGTGCATGAAATCTCTTGAAAGATATCAAACTAATATGAAGTTGCAACTTGACAAATGTAGTAAAAAATTTTTAAACAAATATAAC